ATCACTGCATGTCAATCTTTCCAGAACACACACGTTGTCAGTTCTATATTACAGAATGGAATCCAATCAATTTGTTTTACAGAGAATTGCCATATATTTTACATCTTCACTAAAGCAGACAACAATATAATTTTTTTTATTACTTCACTGTATCTCTAATAATGAAAGGAACACTACAGACCCCCTAAAGCACTTTAGCTTACCAAAAAGCTTGATGTGTGAAGAGTGTCTCCTCCTTTATGTGTGAAGAGGCAGCAATTGCCCAGTGCACCTGCCTTGCAAAGACTTCTCATTGAGCTGCATTGAGAAGTCTGTGATTGGACAGCCACAGAAAATCTGGGCAGGGTTAGAAGAGGAGGGCTCGCAAAGGCAGCAGACAAGAGAACTGCATCTGTTGCAAGCTGTTTTCAGATATGACTCCAATGGAAAAATGCATACCTAAATGCATGCATGTTTTAATTTTGGATATATTTACTAAACAGTGATTTTTATTTAATTTGTGTTTGGGCAATGGAGTGTTCCTTTAAGCTAGAGTTTTTTTTTTTTACATTTTAGAAACTAATTTCACCAAACATATTCAGATTTCAATTCTCAGATATATGTTATAGGTTATTTTAAACATTGTTATAACAATTTTATTTTATTTTTTAAATGATTGGCTTGTATTTTATAATATGCTACTTCCATTAACCTTTCTAATGTATAGTATTTTAAATAATAAAAAAAAGAGAACAATATATAACACTATAAATGTTCCACATGCATAAAGTCATTTCAAAAGCAAAAAGGGCAAATGCAAAAGAATAATTTTCATGGCTTGTTTGACATAATACACATCCATTATATCATCGACACAGCTTGAGGGCGTAGGCAGTTAAAATTCAGGCAGCTGGGTGAATGGTTAGTTAGGCATTAACAATAAAATGGTAGCAGGGTGCAGTGGTGGGTGCAAATAAAATACAGAGTGAGTTTCTATAAAAATTGACATTGACTAAAAACAAAATACATTTATTAAACAACATGTAGAAACCGAACTGTGAAATTCAAGGTAAAATTGCAAAGTTGTCACTACATTGGAGTTGCACATTTTTTCCAAATCGGCTATCTTGGCCTGAATTTACAGTTTTCTTGGGTTTTCCTACAAGTAGTTTATTTTGAGAGTATTTGCATGCAAATACTAACTGCCCCAGTGACCAGTCCCAAAGCAATCAATATCACCATTTACTGACGTGGCGAAAAAAATAATGTTATTATTTCGTAACATTAAGGTTAACTTGAATGTAATTATTGTAATAAAGTTTGCAAATCAGTTTTCATTTCACTAGAATTTGCGGTTTATATTTTCAACCTACACTAGTGTGGTCAAGTTTCACCCCCCTCCCCCCACCCCCCGATACGGTTACCCATATAAATAATACACAGTATTCCAGCCATGTAACATCAAGACAGCAAAGCATTAAGTTCGAACAGAGAGGACAAGATATTTTGGACGATCAGATAGCTGTTTTGGCATATTGAATATACAAACATCAGCTCCCTAGGGATGGCATCTAGAGAGTAAAAGATCATATTTTGCTAAATTGTGTTTGTTGTTTTTTTGGTTATGGAAGGGTCAGCCGCGGAACACGGTAATGGTTTTTCTTTGTTTATCATTATTATTGTGCATTATTTTTATCTCTTTTTCTATATAATGTTTCCAGAAATCGACAGTCTCTCTAAATTCTACACTGCTCTTATATTTAAGAGGCACTGTCACCAAAAAGATAGAATCTTAACAAAATACTAATTTTGTGTTGGAATTACATTGATATTCCAAACCAATAAAGAGGTATACAGTAGGGACTAATTTGTCTCTGTATTTCTCCTCCGCCTGACTTTCTCAGGCACTAGGTGGAGCTATAGAGTCAAATCCGACACTGACGGCTGCAGGGAATTGGCTCTGACTTCTGAGGTTCCCACAAGCTTAGGGGGATCTTCCATAGACCTCTCGGCTGCAGTAACGTCAAAGCCGAAGAACCCCTAACCCTTAACAGCAATGTCATCATCGGGGATCTTTGCGTATTCAGCAAATTCCCCAGACAATGACAGTGCCGCTTTAAGACAGTGCTCACAATCTTACATTGGACGTGTTCTACAGATAGATTATCTTGCATTTTCACAAATTAATTACATACATCGAGAAACATAGATTTAACTATATTTTCCAATATGTTTAGGTCCATGTCAGCTGTGATTTGGAGCATGTAATAACCTCCTGTAATCATTTGTCCGTTTTGAGTTAATGTCTACCATAATTTCATTGGCAGCACCCCACCTAAAATGTTTTATCAAAGTTGTTAAACCTAATCATAGAAAAGCCTTAGGACCACATTTATGTTATAAATAGAAAGATTCTGTAGTGTATTTCTCATTTGTTCATGGGGAGCGCTAGTACAAGGTCACTATATGTATTGGAGAAGGGCACCAAGGATAGGATTCGGTATCTTATAAAAAGATCTAAACATCAGATCAGATTCCAGTGTTAATCCCATGAACGGCTGCTGCCAAAGATCAGGGACCAAAGATACACAACACTTTGTATCATATGCTGAAATGAAATCCGTTATTACAAACATGACCTCTAAGTCAGGGACCAGGGTACAGTAGCGTATAGTGGAGATATTGGTCTGCAGAGAACAGGACAATATTGGAACACCCTGTGTTGTGGGACGTGAGTCCTGGATTAGGACTATCCTGTAGACTGACTGTGTTTTAGGAGTGTCTGTGGGAAACCCTACAAATCCTGGAAGATCATTTCTGTCATAGTAACAGTTCATTGACTATTACCATAAGACAGTAAAAATCTAATTCCCTAAACGTTATTATATTATTTATATAAAATACGCCAAAAAAAAATACAGTACAACTACTCTGTGGATAAGTGACATCTACTAACAATCTATCATAGCTCCTTCAAAGATTAAATGCTGTAACTCAGTGGTTTCCAAACTTTTTAGGTTCAAGGCACTCAATATTTCAATATTTTTCCAAGGCGCCCCAAGTTAAAATAATTTTTTAGGTTGTATATATGTACAGCGTAGCGATATATACTGGGCCCCTGTTCAGCAGAAATGCTTGCCGTTCAAGCCCAGATCCAGAACCTAATCTAGGAGGGGCACTGGTAGATTATTTAAAGAAACAATGCAGGCACAATAACCACTAGAGCACTTTGTAGTGGTTATGGTGCCAGTAGTGCCCTCCCAGAGTAACTGTTTAAGAACTTACCTGGGATCTGCCAAGATAGGGGCTGTAGTAGGGGATAGGGGCAGTAGTGTGTCTGAGAGG